TGTTGAGATTTGGTGATAAATCCAGCATTATGACATTTCACATAACAGCATTTCAATACTGTGGCATTACGGGATTACGGCATTACGGCATTACGGAATTACGGCATTACGGAATTACGGCATTACGGCATTACGGAATTACGGCATTACGGCATTACGGCACTCTATAATTACGGCAAAAAATTCGGCAGGTGCCGTAATTCAATAATTTCCAAAATTAATTCTACCAACATCTATAGTTAGAACCTTTTTAATGTATTCTTTATATCTGTAATTAGAACAATCAAAAATAATATGTGTTCTTACTTGTTGACACAAATTACAAATATAATCCTTAGGATATTGTTTCAGCTCTTTATTCTGTTGATGTTTTGATTTTGAATACTTTAAGAACAATCATAAATTCAATGACCTACAACTTTAGAAATATAGTAAACAGAAAATAACTTCAGAAATATAATAATACTAATTAGATACTAATAATTTTTTTTTTTTTTTTTAGAATAGATTTATTGATAACCTTGAACATGTACAAAGATATTTGAAATGTGAATATGAAAAGAAATTACAAGTAAATTTGTTTGAATATACTCCACATGTTGAATGTCTTGAATATTATCTTCAACATGTATTTAGTCAATGCTTAAAACCTCATAAATCTAACTATAAGGAATATAATAAAGTATCAGAATTATTTGATTTATTAATTACTCAGATACCAGATGATATTAAACAAATTATTGAAAATTAAACAAAGCTACAATACTATTAGTTACATCAAGCTTACAAAATATATCTAAATATATAATTTAATGCAAACTTACTTACTTTAGATAAAGAAGATGCTATTATTATTGTTGACTATAAAATAAAAATTCTGCTAAAATTAGTGCATGAAGTTAAATCAGACTTTTATAATAAATTTAGATAGTCCTTATATACAATATTAGTATATACTAAACAAAATAATAAAAATGATTTAGAAATTCATACCTTTGACTATTAGTCATATAATATAGTTCAAAATGCATAGTTTACTACTTCAGCATTTGAAGTTGTTTTTGATAATCTTAGCAAAAAACTATTCTAAATAAAAATTATATTAGATAATAGTAGCTATTATTATTGTTTTGAATTAATGTTAATAATTGCAAATTAGAAATTATAATATGATATTGAAGTATATAGTTGGACCTTTAGAAGCTGAAGAAGCTAAGACAACTATCAGTTTATATTAAGTATAAGGTAATATTTATTTGATAAAATTTTTAATTTATTTATCTAAGCAAAGTTTAAAAAGTCTGAAGAATTCTAAATTTTGAAAAATTTTAAATTCAAAATCTCATAAAACCTAAATATAAATTCTATATAAGTATAAAATAACTCTCACTTGCATATTATTCTAAAATAAGAGCTAATTTTCTGCCAAATCTGAATTAAATAATATTATAAGTTACTGAATACACAGAATTGTATACTATATTTTTTAACAAAAATTGAATTTAGTTTTTGTTATAATAAATTAGGTCTAATCAAACTTTAATTAGGTCTAAATGTTTTTTTTTTTTTTTAGCTTTATTATAACAAAAACTAAACTTAGTTTTGTTAAAAGCTTTATATATAGTGTATATTATTTTAGGATACCATAGGCATTATTTTGAAATTATATATAAGAGTCTGATTTCTGAAATAATACTATAAGTATTATTTTATATTTATATAGTACTTGATATTAAATTATTATTAAACTAGTATTAGACTTTTCAAAGTTGTAGACTAAATCTAAAATCTGACTAGATATAAACTAGAGTTCTGCAAATTCTAGGCACAGTACTATTAAAATATAATGCTTGTATCTATGACTATACCTAGTACTTTGTTTTAATAGTAATTATGCTGACACTTGCAAAGTTCTAATATAAGCCTTTGTAATTTTCTAAAAATATTCTTTTTATTAAATTGATGAAGTTTATCATAAAGCTTAATTATATAGATTAATTTTATAGTACTAAAAAATTCAATATCAAAAAAATATAATTTAGTAAAATATAGCTATATATTTATACAAATAACTAAATATTAAATGTACAGTATATATCTAAAAGTTTAGAGGTTCTAAGAATTTAAATAGATTATAGTAGGTTAAGATTTCATGTTAAAAAAATTAAAACTTCAAGAAGCAAAGAATTTTGAATATATATAAAAAAAGATTAAGCTTATAATATTAGTATAAGATAATTTAGATTATATATATATCATTAAATTTTGCATTAGATCAAAATTTAGTTTGGAGCATTATTATAATAAGATTAAGATAAGAACATATTAGAGTAAAAGTAGATATCAGTAAAATAATAATTATTTTAATCTAGTACAAATTTTAATTTGATATATAATATATATATATAATAATAAGTATTACTAATCTATTAACCTTCAAATTGTATATATTATCAAACATTATATTCAGTTAGACTATAATATAAATAAAAGAGAAAATATAGTAGAAGTGATTAAAAATATTAAAGGTACAAGTATTACTAATATATAGCCAAATAGAAATTACAAAAATATCAAAAAAACCAAAGCTCAGTAAAATATCAAATTAGTTTGAGTTTAAGTAGCCAATAAAAGAAGAATATATAGATTTTATTTATATATGAGCTTTATCTTATTTTGGAGCTTGAAATAATTTTTTACCTACTGTTATTAGTAAATCAAAAGATAAAATTGAACAACCCTAACTAAGTCCTAAAGTATCAGACTATACTATTATAAATTTATCTTGAATAGTTTCTTTACTCTCAAATAGTAAGTAGTTATAACAATAATTAATATTACTTTGTTTAGTCAGAGTAAATTATTAGCAATAATATACTGTATTATAGAATATACAACTAGCTATTTATATTGACTAAACAAATTTTGTAATATCAATATTAATGATCATACTCACAAGTTAATATAATTATAATATAGTTGCATTTAGAATAATAAAGAAAAAAGAGCATAAACATAAACATTTGTATGATAAAAAAATATATTACTTGAATTAATTGTTCATTATAAGTCTAGATCTAACTAAATTATCAATATCAGTAATCAAAAAAGAACTTGACTAAAGAAGTTTAAGTTATAATGCTGAAGAAAATAGAACAAACTTGATTAACTTATTAAAAGTAAATATTCAACAAGAAATATTAAATATGATAAAGGTATAAAAAAATTTTTTTTATTTTTATATTTAATTTAATACTATATTAATTAATTTCTACTTATCTGCTATAAAGATGAAAGATACACATAAATTATATATAGCAATTAGTAATGAGATAAATGATAAAGTAATAGTAGAATCAAAAAAAAAGTAATAAAAAAACTAAATTCAGCAAGAAAATTCTGTGAACAAAAATTATTTTGTGCTAAGTAAGATCTAAAAGAAAATCAAGATAAAAAAAAAAGAAGGCAAACATATAACAAAAACTATAAAAGAAATATTAAAAAGCTCTTTTTATACTAGTAATAAGGATAAAAGTGAATGATATATAATAAAAAAAATATTTCAAAATTTGCAACAACAAGTACAAATAGGAGAGTTAGAGGCTGAAGAGATTCTATAACTTAAAATAATTAAAAACTGAATTAGTCAATATTTATCATTATATAAAAAAGAGGTAGCAAAAAAAGCCAAAATAGCAGTTTTAAGTTAAATAAATATCAAATAATGATTTATTAAACTTTTTTATATTAAAAGCATTATTCTTCTGTTTATTTTTAACTTATAATTCTAAGCTAGAACAAGAATAGTGAGAAAATAATTATATAATAGTAATTTTTGTTCTTATAATAAATGACTTGGTGCTTTTATTTGCAAAAGTTATTTATATAATTTAGACCCTTACATAAACAAAAAATACATATTATATTCTTGAAAAGTATGATTATAAATTAATTTTTATATAATATTAATCAAAATTTGCTCTGATATATATTATATATTTTTTTTCTATTTTTGGCAAATTATAAATTAAAACTTTAATTTATCTCTACAGAATAGAAAATTTCTAATATATTTTTAATTTTAAAAAATCTATTTGAGACTTTATTCTTAATTAAGTTTAATTAATATCTTTTATAAAACTAATTAAAAAATATTTTACTAAAATTTTTACTACTCAACTTGACTAAATAATTAACAAATATTATCTTCTTCGCAATCTAAACTTTGTAGCAACCAAAAACTCATCTACTTATATACCTATTCAAATTCTACAAAATATAATAGAATATTATAAAAAAAAATAGTAAAAAAGTATATATACTATTTTAAAATATGTCAAAAGTATTTGACAGAATTAATATAACTAAACTACTTAATATCTATAAAAAATAGATATCCTATAACAGGTTTAAACTTTATTTAATATCTATATTAAGACTATAAAGCTAGATCTATTCCTTAATTTGTAGAGTGATGTAGGCAAATTTGCCTATATTTTTGCATTTATTTAGCTCTAATTTATTTTTTTAAACTAATAAAATACTATAAAAAATATTATAGATAATAAAATTTGAAAATAAAAATTATTTTTTTGCTATATTTGTTTTTATATTATAAGAAAAAAATTTAGAGTCATATATAAACTTTTTTTTTTTTATTTTGCAAAATGCTATCAGCTAATTTTTATTAATATTGTAAATTAGAATCATGATACATATTATGAGAGTACAACTAGTCACATGTACAACTTTAGTCATTGTCTATTTAAGTATTCTGCCTGAAGGTTCTATACTAGTTGCTATATCTGAAATCTGCTTATAAATTCTCTATTTAAAACTCTCTGATATTATACATCACTTTCCTTTATTTTTATTTCTATCTAATTAGCCTAACTCTATGCTACTCATCATATAAGATACTCAAGCTAGCATACGCCTACAATTTTTGATTTGCAATTTAGAAGCCAGTTTTTGGCTCTATTAGTTAGCAAGACTGTAGGAGAACCTTCCTAATTCATATTCTTTTATAAATCTAAATTAGAAATATATCGCTCTATTTGTAATTTCCAAATATCTATCTGATCTACTATATTTCACTGTTTCTTTCACTACTCAATTGATTATCATATAACCCTTCCAAGCAATTCTATTATACCATGTAATGATATTAGTTCTTGCTATCTCTCTCAAATAGACTTATTTTTTCGCACTACCATGTAACCAACTTTTGTGATCTCCAGTGTTATACATAGTACCAACTCTCTATAGTTTTACTAACTTCTTTTGGAGTTATACCTGTTGTACTAGTTATCTTTTGGCTTCCAAACTAGGTTTCAGCATCCTATAGCTTTGGCTTTCCAGTTACAGAGTTTTACATCTCTGCTTCTAGCAGGATTTGAACTGTCGACCTTTTAGTTTGGCGACCTAGGAGCTTAACTACTAAGCTATCACTCACAAGTCAGAGTCATATATAAACTAAAAATAGATAATTTTATAAAAAAATTTTTAGTAAAAAATTTATCAGTATTTTTAAACAAACTTGTTTAATTTAAGTTTTAGAAATATCTTTCTTAAAGTAATTTGATAAAACTTTTAAAGGATTACAACTTTAATTATTACAACTTTTGTAATTTACTTATAAAAATTTAGACTTGTATTAGAAGTAAAATTTTTTTTAGCTTCAAGAATATCACTAGTCAAAAAAGTGAAATTCGACTTCAAATCAGAAGCTGATTTGAGGTCAAATTTTAA